CGCAGGAGGGGAAGACCCTCTATGAGATGGATTGATTCGGTGACTGGGGTAATCGGGATGGGTGTGTCAGAGGCAGTGTGGTTGGCGCAGGATAGAGCAGGGTTTAGGGCTGTTGTGCATAGGGTCGCTATGAGTCGGAAACGACTCGATGGCACCTAACAACAACAACAACATATACTAAGGTCTTGGCATGTGGCAAGGTACCTCAGTGCCTTAAATGTGAAAAATAGTAATTGCCATGGAGTTGCAACTAATTCATAGCTGACCTTCCAATGGCTTTTCTGAGGCTGTAAATTGCAGGGGAGATTGCCCATGTTTCTCCCTCGGAAGTAGCAGTGCAACTCATTAGTGACTACCAACAAGAGCTAAGGAAGGCTGCTAAATGAAAGGTGAACAGTTTAAATCAACCAGTTGTGGTGCAGTCTGTCTCCTCCCAATGGAGGTCCCCTAATCAGAATAAACTTCCAGTCTGTTGGGTTTGCTGTGTCCCAGGTGGTAAGCTATTGACATGCATTCCCTCCCCCTCCTTACACTTTGTTGTTGTTGTTAAGTGCTGTTGAGTCATAGGAGTCATAGATGACTCATAGCGACCTTAAGAACGAAAGACCTGAATACTTTTATTACTTTCATCATTTCTCCAAGTTCAGAGTTTCCAGAGGCAAGCTATTTCGGAAGTGGATGCCACTCCTGCTTCCAAACTCGTTTTAATCAGGGAGCTCCACTAAACACTGCCCACAGTGGGTAACCATTATCACATTTGACACATCAGTGTCACAATGTTTAGCATCACAGCAACCACTATTACCTCTGTACAGCAAAGTACTGACCAGTGCTATACCACTTAGAAGACTGTTAGACCAAAGACAATTAAAACCAAGACCGAGGGCTGCAGATTAAAATCACCCACCTTTGGCTTGGTAGCATCGCTTTCTGTCCACTAGGCTAACAGAGCTCTCTCTGTGTTGTTGTTAAGTGTCCTCGAGTCACAGACGGCTCATAGCTTAAACTTTATCACTCTATAAATATACTGTTAGGAAGCACTGGTGTCCTAGTGGCAAGAAGCTGTGGTGCAAATCCGTTGGCAAGCGGTTCGAATCTACCAACTGCTCCAAGAGAGGATGGGCAGTCTCGAGGCCTTAGAAAACCCAACGGCCGCTGGAGGGACGTTGTTTTTCTTGAGAGGGAACAGGCTACTCCTTACCCTATTACTCACACAGACCTGACCCATCTGTTTCTGCTCAGTGGAAGACCTGGAACGGAACGATGGCTCTCCGGATCGACCTTACTACATGTCCAAAGGCCTTCTGCAGATTCTGGGCAAGAAAAACAAGGCGCCCCCAGGAGACAAGAAGAGGAAGAAGTGAAAAAGACCCCACTCTGCCCTGATCCAGGGCTGCGCTCCACCTGTACAGCCTCCCAGCCCCATCTGAATTCCAGATCGCGGCTTTGTAGTAAAAAGATTTTATTAAAGATTGATATTTTGTTTTCTCAATAAATTTGAGACTTTCTCATTCCCCCCCACCCCCCATGACACGTTGCCTAGTTCCCATCCTGGCTCTTTAAATAGGTCCCGCCCCCCCAAGACACGCCCTTGAGTGCTGAGGCCGATAATAGGCTCCTGTACAGTGACCAGCTTCTTCATGTTAGCCAATCAACTTCTGGTCCAAGTCACGCGCGTGGAGCTTCAAGAGGGCCAATTGGGAAGCGAGTTCGGCGCCCGGAGTCACGTGGGGACAATTAGATTCGCGGAAGCGCCCCTCGCCGCCCGCAGTAGGGGTGGTCTGGGTGGGCGACACCTGTTATTTTAAAGGACCGGGTCAGTTCACCAGCTCCAGCTTATGTCTAGCTCTCACTAGTGTTGCAGCCACCGCTTGGGAGCGATGACGGTGGAGGGACTGAGCTCAACGATCCTGGATAGACCCCAGGGACTGCTAATAGTGGAAATCTGGAAAGACTGTGGGGCTCAGGTGTTTGCTGTGAGCTTCTTGCTGCTATTATCTCTGTCAGGATTTGTCGTGGGAGCAAAAAGTGACTTCAGTCTGGTGAGTCACCTCTCGCTCAGCCCCTTCTCCGGCTTTCATAGACGTTCTGAGCCTGGTCTGTGCTCCGCTCTGCTCCTGTCCCCGTCCCTACTCACTCACCTTCCTCCTCTCTGATTCCCATTAACTCCTTCCTCTTTTTCAGCCCTTGTCCCTGGGGACCCCTTTTTACCCCCTCGCCTCTTCCTGCCCCGAGACCCAACTAACTACTCTTCAAACTCTGACCGACTCTTCCTTTTTTCTGGGACCTCTTATTTCTTTCTTGCTCCAAATCCTCAACACCTTCTTGTCCCAGGGGCCATCCCCAAATTCCACATTTCGTCAGTCCGTATTGATCACCTCTTCTTGTCACAGGTGCAGCCTTTGGTGACCATGGAGCAGCAACTATGGGTGAGCGGGAAGCAGATCGGCTCTGTGGACACTTTCAGAATTCCCCTCATCACAGCCACTCCTCGCGGCACTCTCCTCGCCTTTTCTGAGGCCCGAAAGATGTCTTCATCGGATATGGGGTCCAAATTCATCGCTCTGCGGAGGTCCATTGACCAGGGTATAAAGTTGCCTGGATGGCAACAGCGGGTGTAGGTTGCAGGGTTGGGGAACCTTTAGATTACATGAGGGCCTTTGGATAAGGCAACTTCGAAGGCTGGAGACCTGCTTCCCTGAGAGGTAGAAAAACGTAAAGCTCAGTAACGGCTCCGCCTAGCAACTACCTGGTAAATACAGCTGTAAATGAACAGGGGAAAAAAACCTAACTCCTCTCCCCAGAGAGTTAAAATTCTACTGGGAATAGGCAGACACAAAGTCTAATAAATAAGTAAACTTATTTCCATATGGGAAGGTGATAAGTGCAATGGATGAAAATTAAAAGGTGTAAGAGGTGAGAAGGTGGATGCTGGTGTTTGAAGGATTGTCATTTTAAATAGGTGATATTTGAGCAAAGACTCAAAAGTGACTGTGAGCACCAGGAAGAGGTGCAAATACCCAGGAAGACAATTTGAGGAGTGCAAAGGAGCTCTGGCATGGCTGGATGGTATGCACCAGAAAACTGAAGATAAAGTCAGAGATAAGGGGACAGTAGGAAGACCTTGGCTTCCTAATAGTGTCTCCCCCATCTTTCAAAATAAAGAGAAGAAACCTAAATGCACTACCATTTCTGGCTCATTATGACAGTAGAACTGCCCAGAGGATTTCCAAGGCTGTAAACCTTTACAGAAGCAGCCTGCTTCAACTTTCCACTATGAAGCAACTAGTGGGTTTGAGCCATCTACCTTTAAACCATTTTGCCACAAGGGCTCCTTTAGCTCACTTATGTTGTGGTGTTGTTGTTAGGTCTATGAGTTGAGTGTGACCCATAGCAACCCTGTGAACAACACACTTAAACTTTGTCCTATTCTGTGCCATCCTCACACTTTCTGACACATTAGAGTCCGTTGTGGCAGTCACTGTGGCAATCTTCCTGGTCAAAGATTTTCACCGACCCTTTACCTTTCTAAACATCATGTGTCTCTCCTAGGAGTTTCCCCCCCTAGCAACATGTCTGAAGTATGTAAGGCAAAGCCTCATTGTCTGCCTCCAAAGAACACTCTGGCGGCATCCTCTCCAAGACATATCTGTTTGTTCTTTTGGCAGCCCATAGGACACCACAGTTTAAAGGCATCAATTCTTGTTCTGCTATCCTTATTCATTGTCCACATCTCAGATGCATAGCATGTGAGCATGTGTTCTGATGCATAGAAAACAGGAAATTGACAGGAAATGATGGAAAGAAGGGTCCCCTAGGTGGTACTCACGGTTAAGTGCTCTGTTACAAACTAAAAGATTGGTAGATTAGACCTCCCCAATGGTGGGTCAAAAAAAAAAAAGGCCTGGTCATCTGCTTCTGAAAGTTTATAGTCATGAAAAACTTACATTTCACAGTTGTACTCTGCTCACATGGAGTCATCACGGGTTAGAATTGACTAAACTGCAATGGTTTTTCAAAGGAAAGGGTACTTCCTAAGTACCCACCCTGGATGTCTTCCATTTTCCCTTCAGGTGACACATGGTCTCCAACCAAGTTCATTGTAGACGATGGGAAGACTTCTGATGGGCTGAACCTGGGAGCGGTGGTGTGTGACACTGAGACTGGCATGGTGTTCCTCTTCTACTCTCTCTGTGCTCATGGGTTCGGCTGCTCCGTGGCCTCCACCATGTTGATGTGGAGCAAGGATGATGGCCTTTCCTGGAGCAAACCCAAGAACCTCTCCCTGGATATTGGCACTGAAGTGTTTGCTCCTGGACCAGGTTCTGGCATTCAGGTGGATATCCTGGGGGATGGACAGAGGTGCTGCTTTGTGGAGAGTGGAGGGATACCCCAAAATTAATTTCTTCCATCCAGACTACCCCTAAAAAACATTGACTCTTTTTTCCCCAAGGAGAAGCTCTTATAGAATCAGATTTTCCATCTTGTATGAGATTCCGTGGAAGAAAGGAACAACCTATCAGGGAAAGATGGAATATTGCCAGTCACTTCCCTTTTGGGGATTGTCACCAGTGTTGTGCTAGTCTGTGAAGTAAAAATTAGAGAATGTCACCCATTTCTTTAAACAGACAAAAGCCTATGACGGTGTGCAGCTTGACAAGGAGAACAAGTTGAGCTTATGTTCCTTTTGTGCTATGTTCAACCCATCCACTACTGTGCACCCAAACGAGCTTACTCTGAAAAAAGATTTGCTTAATCCAGGCAGTTGGGGAGCTCCCAATGGCGTAGCCCATAGGAAGGTAGACTGTAAACCCAAAGCAGTTCCCCTCTGGTGGTTCAAATCCACCAGCAGCAACAAGGGAGAAAGATTGACAGTCTCCTCCCATGTGATCTGCAGCCTGCAAAAACCCAAAGGAGAGTCAGCTTTGCGTTGTCTGACTCAGTGGCCGTGAGAGTTGATAATTCAGCCAGTGGCTGTTTGTGGGATACTTCTGGGGTTCTCACTAAGCAAGAACAGGAGTAAAGGGGACCAGATATGTCCTCACATGAGGAAGGTGGTAGGTTCCCTGTGGTGTGGGCTTCCCTTCCCTGCTGTTAGCCCCTGCAGTGTCTTCCCTCTGTGACATCTCACAGAAACAGCGAGAACCACAGAAGGGCCGTCTTATTGTGTGTGGCCATGGAACACTGAAGCGGGATGGAGTCTTCTGCCTCCTCAGCGATGACCATGGGGCCTCCTGGCACTATGGAAATGGACTTATCGGCATTCCCTATGACCAGCCCAAGAAGGAACATGATTTCAATCCCGATGAGTGCCAGGTCAGGTGTCCATGGCTGTTCCCATCCACCTTTCCTGCTCAGTCTTCCAGAATACCATTTCCCTCAGACACAGGGCCTGGCTCCCCAGCTATACCCACCTGACCTTGTTCCCCTCAGAAGCAGAAATATTTACCCTGGCCAATGCCCTGGGTTCCACTAAGGCCCTGGTCTCTCCCCTCAGCCCTATGAGCTCCCTGATGGCTCAGTTGTCATCAACACCCGGAACCAGAACAACTACCACTGCCACTGCCGAATGATCGTCCGCAGCTATGATGCCTGTGACACACTACGGCCTCGTGATGTGACCTTTGACCAAGAGCTTGTGGACCCTGTGGTAGCCGCAGGAGCGCTAGCCACCAACAGTGGCATTGTCTTCTTTTCTAACCCAGCCCATCATGAGTTACGTGAGTACCTGAGGGGTGGGCTCAGCTGGAGGAGCTGCTGGGTGCAGAGGGGGTCTAGGCAGAGGCTCTCCTTTCCCTGACTCTGCTGTTTGCTCAGGAGTGAACCTGACCCTGCGTTGGAGCTTCACCAATGGTACCTCCTGGCAGAAAGAGAGGCTGCAGTTATGGCCAGGACCCAGTGGCTACTCGACCCTGGCAGTGCTAGAGGGCAGCATGACTGGACAGGACCACACTCCCCAGCTCTACGTCCTGTATGAGAAAGGCCAGTACGAATGCACGGAGAGCATCTCCCTGACCAGGGTCAGCATCTATGGGACTATTTAAGCAGCACCTCCGCCACAGAGATTGGATTCAGCCTTCAGGAATTTGAGTCTGTGGAGGGATTGGCTGCCTTATAGGTAGTTGGTGGTGGTGCCTTATAGGTAGTTCCACATTTTATTAGTCGTTATCCTTTTGAGGATTAACTCCTCTTTGACAGGGAAAGCATTCCGTTAAAATAAAAAGCCTGGCTCCCTCTCTACACAGGAATTCCCACCCTCACTCATTTCCTTTCTAAGCCCTGTGTGTGGCCTCTCTATCCTCTCCACCCAACTAGTACGGTGAGCAGTCTGTTCCTTGGGCAGAGCCTAAGAAGGGCCTACGTGGGCCAGTAGGACTGAATAAATGTGACCTCAGAATCAGGGAGCTAGAGCTTCTTCCTCTTTGGGGTGGAGGAGGAGACTGGCAGTGGAAATGTCAGTCCCAGAAGCTCAGGAGATTTGGGTTCAGGGTAAGGAACTAAGTACCACCTTTCTGCCTGCCCTTATTATTATTTATGAATCAATATATTTGTAACTTAAAAGTTTTAATAAAAAAATGAGCACTTGTAGAGTCTGTATGGTTCTGTCTGTGCATATCTTCATGTTGGTTTTTCTGGAAGCTCTGATGGGCCTAGTAGCTTATTGCACTGCCAACCCAAAGGCAAGTGGATCAAATCCACCAGCTGCTCCTTAGGAGAAAGATAAACAGTCTCTTCCTGTCCTATTAGTAGCCTCTAAAAATCTACTGAGAGGGTCAGCTCTGAGTCATTTGCTGTGAGACTGGGAGTGTGAGAAGCAACTGGTGTGCTTATTATCTATGAGCCATACTGCCCATGAAAATCTGACCCTGGCAATTTAAGTCCCCCTTTCCTTTTGAAATTTCTATTCACAAAATCCCACATCGATCCTTGGTAAGTGTAACGAAGGATAGAAAGGAGAACGCCACAAAATGTTTAAAAAAATCCTGCTTAGCAGTTAAAAAAATCTCATGGGGTTCTGATTCGTAGCTGACCCTCCAGCAGGTTTCCAAGGCTGTAAATCACAAGAGAGGAGAGATGGTTCATCTTTCCTGCAGAGCCTCTGGTGAGTCCAGCACTGGAGAGGCACGGCCTTTTGGGTTAACAGGGCCGCTCCCTCTGTTTAGCAAAAGCCACCAAATTTCCAACAGCCATTCTTTGCAGAAATAAAAAATAGCTAATCCTCAAATTCAGATTGAATGGCAAGAACACAAATTTTGTTTGACTTAAAGCTTACATATCATATTGCATTTTCATTCCTCCATCATTCATGGTCCCCTATCCCTCCCTGTTAACCATCCAGAATTACTGTATGTAAACCTTTCTTTAGCATTTTTTTGACAGAAGCTCTTAGACCATAATTGTCCTGTGGCGGACTAAGCTTAATGGATGTCACTCAGCTTAATTTGCTCTAGATTCATCCATGTGGCTCAGTGTTTCACCAATTCTTGATAATTTTTTCAATGTTGCATAATACTCCAATATGTGAATGAGCTCATTTCTTTAGCCTTGTCTGTTGCTGGACATGAGGTGTTTCCAATTCTTTGCTACTGTAAATAATGCTGTAACAAACATGAGTGTGTATATACCTGCTTGTGTCATAGATTTTAATTCTTTGAGATATAAATCTAGTAGTAGGATTGTTGAGTCAAATAGAATTTCTATTCCTAACTTTCTAAGGAAATGTTGAGCTGTTTTCCATAGTGGTCACACCATTGACATTCACACCAGCAGTGTATCCAATTTTTCCACACCCTCACCTCATATGTTGTTTGCTGTCTTATTAAATAGTGCTTTTGTTGCCAGGGTGAGAGGATATTACTTTGAATTGCATATCTCTGGAAGCTCTAGTGACTTAGTGGTAAGGAGTTGCCCTGCCAACTCAAAGGCATGTGGTGCAAATCCACCAGCTGCTCCATGAGAGAAAATGGGCATTCTCCTCCCATAAGATTAAACTGCCACTGAAGATGGTGGGAGGGTCAGCTATGACTTAGTTCTGACTCAAAGATGCATACCAACAACCACGGTAGCTAATGATCTTGAGCATTTTCTTCATGTGTGTGTATCCTGAGTGTCTCCTTTGGTGAATTGTCTATTCATCACCTCTGCTGATTTTGTAATTAAGTTTGTCTTTTTCTTGTTGAGTTACTGGAATTTTCTATAAATTCTAGAGTTGCCAGATAAGTGATTACTAAACATTTTTTTCCCAGTGTATAGGTTCTCTTTTTAATCTTTTGTAGTTTTCTTTGTATGGGTCTTTTTTAAATCTCTGGTTAGATTTATTCTAAAATATTTCATCTTTTCGGTGTCTACTGTTGTTGTTAGATGCTGTAGAGTCAAATATGACTCATAGCAACCCAATGAACAACAGATCTGAATCCTGGCCTATCCTGTGCCATCTTCACCATCTGATACACTTGAGCACATTGCTGCAGTCATCATGTCAATCCATCTTGATGTGCATCTTCCTCTCTTTCGCTGACCCTCCACCCTTCCAAGCATGATATCCTTTTCTAAGGTATAGTCTCTCCTAGAAACATGTCTAAAGTATGTGAAACGAAGCTTTCCTATCCTTGCACTCTGCTGCACCTTTTTAAAGACATACCTGTTCATTCTTTTGTTAACCCATGGGATTTTCAATACACTTCACCTCCAACACCACAATGCAAAGGCATTCATTCTTCTTCTGTCATCCTTACTCATTGTCCAGTTCTCCAATGCATAGCAAATAGTTGGAAAAAAGCATGGCCTGAATCGGGAACACCTTAGTCTTCAGGCTGATAGCATTGCTCTTCAATATTTGAGAGAGGTCTCTGACAGTGGACTTGCCCAAAGCAATATGTATCCTTATCTCCTGACTGTGGATTTTTTTAAAAAAATAATTTTATTGTGAATTTTTTCTTCTTTTTAAGTTTGATTTTTTTATTATTAATTTTAATGAAAATTTAGAGAGACTTTGGATTTCCATTCATTCATTGTTGCACTTTTCTCCCTATCCACCGCTCTTCCCTCCTCCCCTCCAGTTCACTCTTCTTGAAAAGTAAAAGAAAAATTCTTGAGGACAGCTGCGGGCGTCTAGAGGCCGGGGAGTTGCGCCTTGCTGACGCGCCCGACCTGCACAGCTCGGTCTCGTCTGAGCCAGCTCTCGTGGCAGCCCAGCATCTCGGCGGCTCTGCGGCTCTGCGCAGCGCTCCAGCGAAGATGCGGCTGTTCCACCGGCTGCTAAAGCAGCCCATGCCCAAGCAGATCGAGTGCTATTCGCGCTTCTTGCCATCGCCGCTCTCCATCAAGCAGTTCCTGGACTTTGGGAGAGACAGTGCGTGTGAGAAAACTTCATACATGTTTCTCCGAAAGGAGCCGCCTGTGCGACTGGCAAATACAATGAGAGAGGTCAACCTTCTGCCGTACAACTTGCTAAATCGACCTTCCGTGGGATTGGTGCAGAGCTGGTATATGCAGAGCTTTCTAGAACTTTTGGAATATGAAAACAGGAGCCTTGATGGTCCACAAGTCTTGGATAATTTTCTACAAGTCCTGCTTAAAGTCCGAAACAGACACAATGATGTGGTTCCGACAATGGCACTGGGCGTGACTGAGTACAAAGAGAAATTTGGTTTCGATCCTTTCAGCAGCAGCAACATCCAATATTTTCTTGATCGATTTTACACCAACCACATCTCTTTCCGCATGCTTATTAACCAGCACACACTTCTGTTTGGTGGTGACACTAATCCTGGTCAGCCTAAACATATAGGAAGCATTGATCCCACCTGTAACGTGGCGGAAGTGGTGAAAGATGCCTATGAAACAGCCAAGATGCTGTGTGAACAATATTACTTGGTAGCTCCAGAGCTGGAAGTTGAAGAATTCAATGCCAAAGCTCCAGACAAACCTATTCAGGTAGTTTATGTGCCCTCACACCTCTTTCACATGCTATTTGAGTTGTTCAAGAACTCAGTGAGAGCTCGGTGTGGTAGAGTTATATGAAGCTAGAAAAGAGGGCTACCCAGCTGTTAAAACCCTTGTTACCTTGGGCAAAGAAGACTTATCCATTAAGATAAGTGACCAGGGTAGTGGTGTCCCACTCAGATCGCCTTTTTAACTACATGGATTCGACTGCACACAGACCTAGCCTGGAGCCCACCAGAGCTACCCTGTTGGCTGGATTTGGTTATGGTCTGCCAATTTCTCGTCTGTATGCTAGATATTTTTAGGGAGCTCTAAAACTGTATTCCATGGAAGGAGTGGGCACTGACGCTGTCATTTATTTGAAGGCTCTTTCAAGTGAATCATTTCAGAGGCTTCCGGTTTTTAATAAGTCAGCATGGCACCATTACAAGACCACACCTGAAGCTGATGACTGGAGCAATCCTAGCAGTGAACCCAGAGATGCTTCAAAATACAAAGCTAAACAGAACTATAGAAAATAATCTTGAGCTAGCAGATAAGAATTTTCATCTAATTGCTCTAAGGATCAATAGAACTTTCTAGAGAACCAAATACTCTGGCCCTCTCTGTGAAGAAAAATCACCTTCCGCAAGTCAACCAGAGAGCACTTCTTTCAAATACCAACTCCAAATGCAGAACCATAGTTACTCCAGTGCTTGAATGTGTTTTCTCCATACCAGCTGGACCACAGAACCCTTCCTATAGCTATTCCAACTCTTTCACAAAAATTAGTTTGTAAATGGAGTAATCTTTTTTAAAAAAAAAAAAGAAAAATTCTTTCATTGTTTTAAAATCCCTCCCCCCAGGTCCACTCCACTATGCAGCCTCCGCTCTGGACTCCCATCATGAAGGAGTTTTTCTTTTGCTTTTCAAGGAGAGGAGCAAAGGCGGTGGGGAGGAGGGAGAAAAGTGCAACAATGAATGAATGGAATTCCAAAATCTCTGTAGATGTTCATTGAAATGAAAAATAAATAAATTAATTAAAAAAACCCAATCACATATCCCCTTTAAACAGTTTTCTCCCTCATCTGTTTCAATGCGGTATACATAATTTATCCCA